TCCCAAGAGTGACCCCCCCCTTGTCCCCAGGGTGCCCCCCATTGTCCCCAGGGTGCCCCCCACTGTCCCCAGGGGCCCCCCCCACCTGTCTTGGTGCAGCCGTCGGGGGGGGCCCCGTAGGCGGCCGCCCCCCCCCGCAGCAGAGCGCAGGGGATGGGGGGGGACCCGGGGGGGCCCGCGGGGGGGTCCCCGGGCGGCGGGGGGGCCACCCCCAGCTGCAGCCCCTCGATGATGAAGAGGGGGGGGGCCGGGAGCAGCGCCCCCCCCACGCGCAGGCACACGAGGGCCGGGGCCACCCCCCCGGGCGTCGCCGCGGGCGTCACGGCCGGTGGCCCCCCCGGTGTCCCCCCCCCCGCGGGGGGGGGCGGCTCCGCGTCGCTGTCCGACGAGTCTGAGGAGCTGCCTGGGGGGGGGCGGGTGTTGGGGACACCCGCGAGGGTCCCCAAGGTGTCCCCAGGGCTCAACCACGTGTCCCCAAAGCTCCGGGTGTCCCCAGTGTCCCCAGAGCGTCCGCGTGGATGGACGTCATGTCCCCAGTGTCCCCAACGTCCCTGTGTGCCCCACGTGTCCCACGTGTCCCCATGTGCCCCACAGTGTCCACATGTGGCCCCCACGTGTCCCACGTGTCCCCACGTGCCCCACAGTGTCCCCATGTGCCCCACACGTGTCCCACGTGTCCCCCTTTGCCCCACAGTGTCCCCCATCCCAATGTGTCCCTGTCCCTCCTGTGTCCCTGCGTGTCCCCATCCGTGCTGCTCTTGTCCCCAGGTGTCCCCTCACATCTCCTGTGTGTCCCAAGTCGCCCCCCATGTCCCCACGTGTCCCCACCACATCCCCACATGTCCCATGTCCCCAATCTCCCCCTCCCATGCCCCCTTATGTCCCCAATCACTGCTGCACCCCAGGTCCCCAATGCTCCCTTGTGTCCCCCCCCCGCGTCCCCCGCGTCCTCCCCATGTCCCCCATGTCCACTCCCGTGTCCCCCCCGTGTCCCCCCTGCCCCGCACCGGTGTCACCGTCGTCGCTGGGCGGCAGCGGCGGCGCCTGCAGGTCCTGGAAGTGCCGGTGGCCCTGGGGACACTGCCACACGGCCGTGGTGGCCAGCCCGCCCGCGGGCTCCAGCTCGGCCAGCTGCGGCTCCAGGGGACAGCGGTGGCCGTGGGCCTCGTACCAGAGCGCGGCGCGGCGGAGACTGTTGAGGGGACGGCGCCGTCCTGGGGGGACAATGGCACTGTCACCGTGTCACTGTGTCACTGTGTCAC